CCAATTTAGGACAATTTGAAATATGCAGTCTCTGTAAGGAGATGAGGCGACCCATCCCTTCATCTGGTAGTGATACCAAATTAGGGCAATCTTTAATTTCAAGCTTCTCAAGTAATGTGAGGTTGCCAATCCCTTCTTCTGGCACATATTCTATATCCTCAACGCTCTTAATCTCCAGAGATTTTAATTTGGAGAAGGGAACAAAGGAGGAGGGAAGGACCTTCCAGCTGCTTCTCAATAACTCCAGACTATCAAGATTTGGGTACAGCGGCATGGAAGTTAGGTTAGGACAATACTTTATATGTAAAGTAGAAAGACAAGGAAACGAAGAAGCTGAAGCTGAAGCTGTTTCATTCCTCCACCATCCCTTGAGATTAGGGCAATCATTTAGCCAAAGACTCTGTAAGGAGGGAAAGAAGGTCGTCGATGGAGAAGCAGCTGAAATCATCATCATCTCATCACTGGCAAAGTCCTTAACCTTGTCTTCTGCTGATATGTGCTCCAAATTCCTTAACCCGGAAAGATGAAGACTCTTAAGAAAAGGTAAATGATCCAACGGTGGAAGATGTTGGCATCTATCACAGTCATAGAAGCTGAGATTAACAATATTTGTGAGAGAATGAAACCAACTCGCAAACCTCGCACCCGGGTATTCGCCCACGACTAATTGTTTTAGACTTGAATGGGGCTGCAGCGGTTCCATTGACTTAATAATTACATCACTCTCCTCCTCAACCGCATCACTATTTTCTCTTTCGATGCGCATCCAATGTAAAGTCAACGAATAGAGATGTTTCTCCTTCAAAACTGCACCATCATAATTCAATTCTGACACCATATCTTTCTTGTACCTCAAATTTTTGATCTCCAACTCTCCTCTTAAATCCTTCAGCTTCCCCAACTCACCGAGCCCTGCACTGCCCATCAACATGGATTTGTTTTCACTCAAAACAAACATACTCAAAGTATGAAGACGAGTCAATTCACCCAATCCACGAGGAATCCGAGCCAAATTATAACATCTTTCCAAAATGAGATGCCTCAAGTTGATCAATTTCTTAATATCTCTAGGCAATTCCACAAGATAGCCACAGCTTGTGAGATCTAGTGTTTCCAAATTTTGAAGTTTGACTATCCAATTTGGAAGTCTCTCAATGGGATTACCACTAAGATCAAGATATCTTAAATGTTTCATTTTCATAAGACATTTTGGCAATTTTTTAATTGTTAATTCATTCAAACTCAACATACGCAGTGACTTAAAATTTGAAGCAATTGTAGCACAAAATGACTTATGGAATGACTTCTCCCACCACAAACGTTGGCTTAGGAAAAGAAAAGACCTTAGGTTATGGCTTAGGAAAAGAAAAGACCTTAGGTTATTTGATTCCAGCAAGGATGTTGGTATTTTCCATTTCGACAAATCAACATCAAAATCGAAAGATACATGAAGAAGACGTTTTCCATCAAAATCAGTCTTATTGCGATCTATTATTGTGCTTCCCTCTCCTGCCACTTTAACAGCAAGTTGATTCATGAGATCATGCATTTTACAGCTTTTTATTATACCAAACTCATCTTTTTCTTCTTCTTGGAAAAAAGATCTCCAAACTAGTTCATTATAATATTCATAACCAACATCTTCCAAGCACTCTTTAGGATTTGAAGACTTAACGAACCCTTGTGCCACCCACAATTTAATTAAATTCTCTATGGGAATCTTATAATCAGGCGGGAACAAACTACAATAAGCAAAACAATGTTTCAAATGTGATGGGAGAACATCATAACTCAGCTGAAGTGTTGGTAAAATATCATTTTCTTCTTGCCTTAGTGTTGAAAGCTTGTTATTCTTGAAAGCTAACCACTCAGTTTCTGGATCTCTAGTGTACAACATCCGTCCTATGGTCCTTATAGCAAGCGGAACCCCCTTACATTTTCTAGCAATCTCCTCCCCAAGGGCCTTAATGGTTGAACTCGTTGGCTCTTTTCCATCTTGGAATGCCATTTTCTTAAACAAATACCAAGACTGCTCTTCACTTAAACCCCTTAAGTTATATGGTTTAGCTGTGTTTGTTATCTTTGCAACTTTTTCACTACGAGTAGTTATTAGTATTTTACTACCTCTTGCACCACCCATCAACAAGTCTTTCAAGGCAAGCCATTTTTCACGATTATCATTCCACACATCGTCTAACACAAGGAGGTATCTCTTCCCATCGATCTTCTTCCTAAGCTCATTTTGCAACTGATCCATGTCAAGGTTATCATCTGCTTTTAGGATTTTCTTAACAAGTGTATCCAACTGAAATGAATTAGAGACACATGTCCACATTTTCGGCTCAAAATGCTTTTGAACCTTTTCATCGTTGAATACGAGTTGGGCAAGTGCAGTTTTCCCCATTCCTCCGAATCCCACAATGGAAATGGTGGACATATTCTCTGTGTTCTTTGTAGAGATGGGATCCCAATCCAACAAAAGTTGAATAATTACTCTTTTATCTTCATCTCTCCCTATTATATTATCCTCCCGGACAAATGAGTGAGTGACCCTCTCTCTTCTTACAAATTCTACATCTTCAAGATTCCTTTCTAACTGACCAAATGTTCTATTCGAGGCAATCTCATGAAGTCTCTTGTTAAGATCTTTTATCTTATGACCGATTTTCAGCCCAAAAACAAGCTGATTTGAGCTAGAGAAGAAGATGCGTACCTGCTTTGACACTCTATTATTTCCAGGCCCCATTTGTCTCCACTGAGCTTCAGTATAAAACTCATCGAGCACGTCATCAGCTTCATAAACTGTATCTTCTACGCTTTCAAGCCACACTTTGACTTCATTATTGTTGGCTTGTTTTTCCTCAGCATCAAGAAGAACAGCTTGGAGTTTGGCAACTTGGTCCTTGAGCTTTCGAATCTCATCTTTGACACCCCAAGGCAATGCAATCTCTTGCAAAACACGGGAGCCTAACCTTCCAATGATCCCTTCTGCAATGTTGAAGAGGACTCCTTCTGCCATTGCCTTGATTCAGAATAAAAGCAGAGGTGAATTAATTACAATAACTTCAAGTGTTTGTTTCAAATGGTGATCGTGGAAAATGGATCATCATGGCTAGTCTTTATATAAGGCCCTGTAATTGGCATCTTTCAAGTAAATATTGGTTAGGCAAGGCATATGATTCTAGCCTACTATGTTAGTCTAAAGAATTTGTTGCTAGCAAGCAAAGATTGGTAATAGAATTAGGATCACATTTGATCTCAAATAAAGCATTTGGAGATTAGTGAAGGACATATGCCTTGCCTCCCTTAATTAGCATATGATTCTAGCCTAAAACTTCCTACAAGTTTGTATCACCCATATACTATTCCCTACAAGATGTACCACGTGACCATACTTAATTAAGCTTCCTTCTCATTGGAGAAATATAGAGAGACTTTACCACGAGTTGAAGTAAAGAATAAATCCTATCTAAAACTTATTTCTGTGTCTGTGGGTCGGATCTGATTCTTGTCACTGGCCTAAGATTGCTCACATCCAAATACCAATATGTTGATATTTATACGTCTAAAGATCAAGATTCAAAGCTTGGTGCTTCCGTTTGCTACTTAACACTTTTTGGACTACTTAACACTTTTTGGACTTATCAGATATGCCAACCTCACTTGTTGATTTTCTTCTTTGTTGATTCATATGACATACCATCGGTTCCACCAAAAAAATAAAGACATACCATCTGGTACATCTCAAGATGATTTGGTAGGAAAATATGGCACATTAGGATAGTATGGTCACATGGTACATCCTGTACCATGTTATAATATGGGTGGACGACAACGTTTATTTTCCTCCCTTTTAGAGAATAGTATCAATAAATATCCACTTATATTATATCACATGTACAAGATGTACCACGTAGCCATACTACCATCAGAGTTCATGAGGGTAATTTCAGCACGTGTTTTAGCTAATTGACATTTTGTATCTTGTATTTGTTGATGTAATTGGGAAATAACCCCAACGCAGCCATAGATAGGATTATGTATTCTACACTGACCCTCATAACACAAGGTCTCTGCTACTTCAGCTCATAGATGGGGCAGGAGTTCCTGATAATTAATCATAAGAAAAATCACATTTATAGATTTAAAACGAGAAACCAGTAGATAATTTTAATGAAAAATACATTTTTAAGAAAAGAAATATAAAAAAAACTTATGCTCTTCAAATAGATCATATTAATTATATCATGAAATTATTTACAACAAGGCCAAAAATACATTGCTTTAATAAGTTACTACAAATATTGCATTAAAAATTTCAGAACATGACCTTCTATTCATTTCTTTCTCAAATATAAAGTCTTGCTGCCAATTTGCCTTCTCTTCTCCCTTCCACATCGTACTATCACTCTATCCTTACTGATCTTTCACATTAATTAATTTTCTTTTCTTTTTCAATCTTTGGTTTTTCAGTTGATTAGCAAAGGGTAAATTACTCAAATTGTCCTCAAATTTGTACCCGATTTATATTTTGGTCCCTAAACTAAATTATTCGTTCAAATGGTCCACCAACTTTTTATTAATCGGCGCTTTGGTCCTACCGTTACATTTTCTGTTAAATTTAGTCATATGAGCAGCACATACTACATTTGTGGGGGCAAATAAGACTTTTGACCTATGTATCACCACTTTATCACCACTTTAACTCCTATGAATGACCACTTTATCACCTATGTATCACCACTTTATCACCTATTTGGGAAACATAGGACGGTTATGGACGGTTTTACCCTTACATTTGACGGCACCATTAACATAATGTAACGGTAGGATCAATGGAGCGATTAATATAGAGTTCATGGACCACGTGAACGAATAATTTAATTGAGAGACTAAAATGTAAATCGGGTATAAGTTTGAGGACCATTTGAGTAATTTACACAGCAAAAATTGAGTCCAAATCTTTAGATTGTTAAACACCATGATCATGTCATGCTTAATGAGAAGAATTTTCATATAACGGGATGTCAATGTGGCAGTATCCTAAACTAATCATGTATTGTCATTTGAAAAAATTATCACTCATGGTAGTAAGTTTTTACCGTGCTTAACTCTGGAATGAATGAAAGAGAATTACCCTCAGGATTCTTGGAAGCAACCAAATTCAAAGTAGTTTTCTTAAAATAAAATAAAATAAGACTTACCTAGAAAATAGAGAAAACAAAAACTATTGTATGGATGCAGAAACATCGAAAGGATAGAAAGGTTTTGTAGGGTTGGGGGCATGGCCATTGCTTTTTAAGTATTAAAAATAGTGAAGTGTCGAATGGGTAATATTACCTGGAGCATTTTGGCAACATTGCTGGCACCATAGATTCTATGAACAGAAGCAAATCTTTTTTTATTTTTTTAAATTTTATTTGTAATTACCATGAGGTGTCCGTGCCAGCTTGCGCGCACCTCGACTAATCTCCACTGGAGGAACTGAGCCTGCCGTTGGCCACCAGGTGTTGCAACTGCTGGGATTTGAACTAGAGAGCAAACCCAGCTGAACCCCAAAGTCTTATCCAGAAGCAAATCTTCGAGGATCATTGGACGGAAAATAGGGAGAGAGTATGCAATCTGAAGGGCATCTCCTTCTCAAATACTTGCACGCAGCACAACGACCAGACATATTCATATTGAAAATCTAGAGAATGATATCAAAATCTCATTCACATAGATTTTCTCAATCTTTTTTTTTTTTGAAGAAGATCAAATCTTACCTAGATTTTGGGTGTCTTGAGGTATTCGTATTGAGGGTTATGTGTTAGCTCTAGGTAGAGAGATTTCCAACGGCTACTTTTTTCTTTTTGAAATTGAAGACTTATAAGGAAATTTTCTTGGCATGGTAATACTAGACTCGTAATTAGGGTTTGTTTTCTCATGTAATTTTTTTTTGGGTAATGCTAGGGAGACCATCTATTTGTACCATATTTATGTACCAACTGATGTGGCTGTTGAGTTGGCTATGCCACATCATTAATCGGTTGATTCGTCAGCCTACACCTTCAGATTCACGCTCGCTCTTCGATTCGACTCACTGGTCTGAGAGAGAGAGCATTTCTTATCTGAGTTTTCAGGAGCAAGTTTCGATAGGTGGCAAATTGACTTGTAATCGTTGACTCTGTTTCCAACGATAGCGAAGCCCACCCATCTCTGCTCTGGCTCAGACCATGTCATCTCTGATCTCTTATTTCTTTCTAGGACTTGTTCGTCATAAGTGATTCTTCTATGGTCGGTGTCTCCTTCATCCCCGCAGTGCTTCTCTTTCATCGTGAAGATCTTGTGTTTGTTTCAATTACTGTGTGAGTTTTAATGATTGAATTCTCTAACAATATTTGAGATTCTTTTAATCTTTTTGGTTAGGATAAATCATGGGTCTTTCTTTGTAGTGTTTAAATGTTTGTTATTGCAATTGGGTATATCGTTTGAAGAAGTCCTTCAATGATTTCTGATGTTCATTTAAGCAATTCAAATCATTATCTTGATTATGCATTTGATGCTTTAGTGCATTCGTTGTTTACGTTTCCGACACATGAAAGTTGAATTCTTGTTGTTGTGCAAATGAAAGTTTTCATGGCAAACGAGGCCTATATGTTCAGATTTTGCCCTTACGTATTGACTGGTTTTTTTTCTTCTTTTGACTTTACAAAGATTCTAAGCAGCTGTGATATGACATTATTCTGAGCATTCTTGAGTGGTAAAATTTGCATGGTTCAATAACTCTAGGCACACTGGCATTGGAATAATTATTAGGAATCACCATGGGGAGTTCAAAAGTGGTAAAATTTGCAGGAATATCTGCTGTGGATGCTGAAGCTCGGGCTATTATTGAGGGTCTTTCTTTTGCTGCTGACCAAGGCTATTCTCACATTTGTGTTGAGTCTGATTCCAAACCCCTCATCAATTGCTGTTTGGGGAAAATTGCCAAGGGAGCCTGGGAATTCTATCAATCATTTGTATTCTTGATGTGGCTATGATCTAATTTTGTTTCTGTGGCTCTGTCTTGGGCATGTTAGCTAGCAACTTTTTAGTTGGTTCTTTGGAGCTTTTTTTCTGGCTCTTTTTCTGTATTTCTTTTGGCTGGCGAGTGCCTAATGGAATTATTCAGTTACCAAAAAGAACAGTCCAGTTGGTCAAAAAACAACTCACTTTTGGGGACCTGTTGCAAACTGGGGATTTGTTGCCGCTGTATGCTTCACTTCCATGATATCTAGAGTGTATTTGATTTCAAATGAGGTTTCTCAAGCTACATGGTCTTTTGACTAATACCAATCTCAAACTACAACCATTGAATCTCAAGTGCAATATGGTCTACATTAAAGCAATATGGTCTTTTCAATTACAACACTAAACAGAAAAATGTCTACATTAACAAAAAAATGGATAAATTTTCAAGTTCAAAGTGTTAACAACTTCTGCAAGTGCAATTCTTTTGCTTCCAATGATCAGTTTCGTTGGCCACCACTTCCTCCAGAACTAAAGCCAGGCATGTATATATTGTAGTCTTCATTCCAATATTGATATTGATGATCCTAAATATTAAAAAAAAAAGGAAACAATAGATAAATTCAACATTTTAATATAAAATAAATGAAAAGTACTGAAAGTTTTGAAATTAAACTTCTTTTCTACTACCAGAAAATGATTCTCATGAAGGATTGGATGATCCATATGTCCTATCTCATACCCTCTATACAATTGATTTAATTGACTATTTTGAGTAAAACCCACAAATGTGGCCATATTTTCCTGCAATGTATCCATAATATTAGTCATTACAACGGTACTAGAGCGAATGACTAATAATGAAGTTTAACAAACAAAACAATCAATCAAAACAAAACATTCATGTCATACCTGCATAGCAATGCTCTCTTGTGTTCCAACTACACCATCACCTTTAGAAGTGGATGAACCAACAATATGGCCAATATCATCAAAATCTATTGGCTGCAAATCCTACATAAAAATTCAAGGACAGTCACAATTAAATATTTTATTGATTAAATAATACATTAGAAAATAAAAAAACTGTATCCATTTTACTTGCATACATTCAATTGTTTCTCTCCATTAGTGTTGTTTCCACAAGATTTGATCTTCTTGTTACTCTCTTGTTTCTTCTTTTTACTATCTTGTTTCTTCTTGACTGCTTGCTCCAACTGAGATTTCCTCCTTTTAAATGGTGGACGGCCTTTCTTTCTAGCTGCTAAGGGAGTACGAATACGTTGACTTGGATTCGGAATTGAACTAACATCATTCTCAATGTTCCTACCAATAGGTGACTGAGGAGTTGGTTGATCACTACCACAAATAACATTATGTTTGGAGAGTTTCTCCTTTACATTATCCATCCAAGTCATCACAATCATGCACTTATTGTCAGAATCATTTGCCAATTCCTTAATCTCATCAAAAGCCTTTTGCATCTTATGACATCGTTGTGCTTCAGGTGTGAGACTACAACCTTCATAATTGATTTCAATCCTTGTGTGACATCTTTTCACATCCTTCCTCCATCTTCGCATTATATATTTTTCTGGAATCAAGTCAATGCTATGGCGAAGAAAAACATATATTGTATGACGGCATAATATGCCTCTAAACTCAAACAAGCGACAATTGCACCGGACTTCATTGTCATCTTCATTAAGCCAAACCTTGAAATAAAGCCTCTTTTTTTTTTTTCCCCTCTATCATAAAATCCTCAGATATTTGGTACTCAAAATTTGCACCATTCACTTTATGTGAAACATAGTCGCAATACATTTTGCCTATTAACTCATCATGGAATTCTTTATATTTGGAAATAGTGTAAACCTCTTGAGCTTGTTTCTCCATGTTATAATGAGTTCCGCAATCAAAACCAATGGATGAAGACTTAAAATCTTCTTGCTTCTCCTTTTGCACCTTAACTTTCAATGCATTTTCATATTGCTCCACAAACTGTTTTAAAGTAGTCTTGGAATTTACATGGCCATCAAAAAATGCATTCATACTTTCACTTCGTTGTGTGGTTGACATTCCTGCCCAAAAACTATCTTTCACAAAGCATGGCACCCAACGTTGTCTCTCATTATATAGTCCAGCCAACCATTCATTGTCTTGTAACTGATATTTCTCAATTATTTTATCCCAACCTTCTTCAAACTCAACCTTCTCCAATGAGCCACACACAATACTTTGCAAGGCATACATAATAGATTCATATTGCTTGTAACGGTTCAACTTACTAGGAAACTTGTTCATTATGTGCCACAAGCACCAACGATGTCTAGTATTAGGAAAAATAATCTCAATGGCACTTTTCATGGCTTTATCTTGATCAGTAATTATTCCCCTAGGAGCGTGCCCATGCATACATGCAAGCCAAGACTTAAACAACCAAATAAAAGTATCAGTATCTTCACTTGAAATCAGCCCACATCCAAGTAAAATTGATTGCCCATGATGATTTACCCCTACAAATGGAGCAAATGGCATGTCATACTTATTTGTCAAGTAGGTTGTATCAAATGTAACATCTCCAAATTCCTCATATGCTGCCCTACTTCTTGCATCTGCCCAAAATACATTTCTTAATCGACCATCTTGATCTAAATCAATTGCATAGAAGAATTTTGAATTTTGAGCTTGCATATTCAGAAAAGAAGTTTGGATTGCAGTAGCATCGCCTTCCCCGAGCCGTAATCGTCTCACATTTTCAATATAATTCCTACAATCCTTTTCCAAAAAGGAGATATTCTCATGGCCCCCAGCTTCAACCACTAATGAATTATAGCTCTTGTTTAACCTTATTCCAGCTATATCATTGAACTCAATCCTCCTTTTCATATATGAACTCATTGTTCGATGACATCGAAAATAACGAGCCTTGGTTGGACTCATATCATGGTTATGATCAAGCTTGACAGAGTTGATCTGCCACCTTCCATCTAAGAGTTTACCTGCTCTTACTCTAGCTTTGCAACCAGTTTTAGTACTTGGATGTGGCTTTAGGACATTACTTGATTTACTTTTATATTTGCCTTCTCGACCACATGAAATAGTCACATATTTCAATTCTCCCTCATCTCCCTTTTGTGATGTTCTCTTCCTCACCCCTAATTGCTTCCCATATTCTCTATAATAGACAACTATCTCATCAATGTTCTTAAAAGTCATCCCAACTTGAGGCTCTTGCACATTCTCTCTATTCTCCAATTCAGGCTCCTCACTTGCTGCTTCATCATCATTCTTTTCCATTTGAACCCCATCATATTCTTGATTAATATATGAACTCATAAAGCTACTCGAAGACATGATTACAAAACAAAATAGGATCTGCATAGTAGTGGAAGGCATGAAAAAAGATGTTTCAAAACAGCAACCAACATAAATTACAAAGACCCATATCCATACAAGCAGTATAAAAGTATTCAATACTGATCTTAAGCGTAATACAAATATCTCAATGATTCAAAGAATCAATCCAAAAATTTCAATCATCACCCAACAAGAGAAAACGCAAGAGTAAAATAGAGATGAACTTACTGTCGTCACTAGCGTCGGGAAAAACTAGGGTTTATTGTCGTTGGCAGATTAGGGAGAAGATAAAGGATGAGGAAGGGGAGGAGGTAGGGAAGAATTAGTTGAATATACGTGAAACAAAACTTCCCATACCGCTTAGGTTTCTGTAAAGTGAAGGGTGAAAAAAATAATAAAATATTAAAAATATTAAAAGCTCATTTAATGATGTGGCATCTCAACAGCCACATCAGTTGGTACACAAATATGGTACAAATAGATGGTCTCCCTAGCATTACCCTTTTTTTTTTTTTTCATATCGTAGTCTTCCATTCAGGAAACCAGTACCTTTCTTTTATTCGTCCTGCAACTTTATTTTGATTGGACCAAACTCGCTATTTGTTTATGGAAACTAACCATAATGAGTTGATTGAATTTCATTTCTTTTTATTAATTATTTTAATTTATTAGTTTCTCAGTTTTGCCATAGCATGCTGCATGTGTAGTAAGAAAAGTCAAAAGTCACATAACCAATTGTTTGCAGCTCTTCTTTTTTCACCATGCGTATGATATGTAATAATCCTCAAATTGTTATGCAGTGATTGTTGAAGAATATAAGAGCCCATTTGGGAGTGTTTATGGAATGGTTAAAAGTGCTTTCTGAAAATCAAAAGCGCTTCTGACAGTGTTTGGCAAAAAAATTTAGAAGTGCTTTTGGGCTATAGAAGCGTTTTATGGAGAAGCTCCTACCATGTGCTTCTTCAGGAAGCACTTCCAAGTGCTTTTCCAAGAAGCACTTCGATTTCTTATGAAAATTTCAACGTCTTTATAATAAAAGCACTTTGGTAGAAGCGCTTATAAATAGCAGTGCTTCCTAGAGAAGCAGTCCCAAACGAGCCCTAAGGCCCCGTTTCGGATTGCTTTTTTTTTTACTAAAAACCTGCTTCACTTTAAAGTTAAGCAGTTTAAGATGTTTGGTAAAAATAAAATATCCAGATTATTTTAAAAGCAGTGGCCTTTTGATAGCAGCTTTTAGAAGCAGGCTCTGGGTTGCTTTTCAAAGCAGCTTTTAATGAATTTTTTTAATTCTCAAAATACCATCATTCTTTTTAAAAAATGACACCACCTCCACTTCCACATCCAACTCCACACCACCTCCTCTCCATCACTACCACCACCTCCACAACCACCATCCCCACCACCACCTCCTCTCCATCACTACCACCACCTCCACAACCACCATCCCCACCACCACCTCCTCTCCATCACTACCACCACCTCCACAACCACCATCCCCACCACCACCTCCTCTCCATCACTACCACCACCTCCACAACCACCATCCCCACCACCACCTCCTCTCCATCACTACCACCACCTCCACAACCACCATCCCCACCACCACCTCCTCTCCATCACTACCACCACCTCCACAACCACCATCCCCACCACCACCTCCTCTCCATCACTACCACCACCTCCACAACCACCATCCCCACCACCACCTCCTCTCCATCACTACCACCACCTCCACAACCACCATCCCCACCACATGATTAGTACACAACACTTTTGATATCCTGTCTATTTTAGTCATTATTTACAGTTACAACAATTTTATATTAAAATTTACCAAACGGTTTTGACACTGCTTTTTGTACTAACAGCACTTTAAAAATATTGTTTACCAAACATGGAGCTGCTTTACTTTACAGCTAATTATTTTTAAAGCACAGCAGAAACAACTTTTTTTAAAAGTGACAGCAATCCCAAACTGGGCCTAAGTCTCATATTAGAAACTTAATAAAATAAAATACAATATATAATGAATGGTCATACTACTAATATCATAGATGCATTTTGTGATAAAACCCCCACACCTATTAGACTTTGTAGGTGGTTAAGTTGAGAAAAATATTGGTGTTGCTCGTAGTGGGCCACTGGGCCATTTCTCTGAAATTTTGACATGGTATAAGATAAGAGCCTGGGTTTTCTTGCGACAGTAAAGGCAAAGGGTACGACCATAACAACAACGACGACAATAACCAAAGTTGGAGCAAAGATGTTTCCCCAGACCCAACTTGACAAGTGAGTTATAAAACACCATACTTGAGACAAAGGGAAAGGAAAAAAAAAAACCAAAGTTTATACATCTTGGTAGATTAACGGTCTTAGATTGAACCCCTATCACATTTTGGTAGTATGTCTGAGAAACTCGCTCTTCCTTATAGTTTAATCTATTGCTTGTATTTGAAAAAAAATTACGATTTCTAATTGAGGAACTTTGTTCGGTTCATTTTTACACATGATTTTTCATGTTATTCACCCACTATTTTGAGTTAGTTCTTGACATTTTATAGCTTTTTACTTCATTTTTGTGTTTTCTTAGATTTTGCCTTGGTTGGGATGAAAATGAGCTAAAAGTGCATTATTAGTTATAAATTCTGTTTTTGTTCATTTTCGTAGGTCAACTTCTTGGCCTGGGATCAACATGCTCTGGTGCTCGGATGAGGTCATGATCTTCATGAGACTTGTTCCAATGGATGTTAACTACAACATATCCAAATTTGAGCTCCATTGGACAAGTATTGCCTATCCAACCAATCCATCATGTTACCACAGTTCTGGAAATCCGGATTTGGCCAGCTTTTACCTCCCTTGTGTCATCTTAACTTCTTGTTACCATAACTCTTGGTAACAAGGAATTACATTTGTAAAATAGATATTTTCTGAGCTTTTGGCATCTTTGTGAAGTCAAAGCTCCATCATGGCAAGGGGACAATGGGCTAAGGATTTATCAAAGGTGGTAGTTTTATATTAAAAGGTAAAAGCTGGAAAGGAGGAGAGAGGGAGGAGAAGTCAAAATTGCAATCTGATATTGGGAGCCTTTTGATCGTGGGAAATCAGGCTATTCCACATTCTACACAACTTGAGAGCAGCTTTTGGAGGAGCTAAGAGCAAGGAAGGAGAAGGAGGTGCAGCCAAGGAAGAAAGGAGAAGACTTCCACCATTCAAGACTTCAAGCTTTCATCATTTCCAAATCTGTAAACTCCTTCTAGTTATATTTCGAGTTTGTATTTGGAATAAGTATGAGCAACTAAACTCCATAGCTAGGGCCTAGTTGAAGCCCTAAACATGATTACCTTATTGTTCTGATGCTTGAGTGTATGAATTTCTAGATGTTGTTGATGAACCCCATTCACTAATTGAATTTTATGATATGTGTTTGCTTCCTTTGCTTAATCACCTTAGGTTGTATGCATGTAGCTAAAGTTGAGAAGTTGTGTAAGATAACCAAGAACACAATTTCTAATTAGCACGTAGTGTTCTTGCATTTTTTGTGCTGATTCCAACCGTATAAAGAACGTGAATTTTGGATAAACGGTTGGAAAGTTATAGGTCAA